GGGGGTGAATGGGAGGGGGTGTGTTTTTATAGACTTACTCCAGGATCCAGAAGCAACGATTTTTCGTATGTTTCCAAGGGCTGGAGGAAAGGTGTTCTTTCGCGGATACAGGCACAGGCGTCAGTTACAAAAAATATGGCAAAGATGTGGGAAGCTCTTGAGCTACTAGGCAAGGGGTCATTGCTTCTGGAAGATGCGTCCTGGGCACAGACATTTGAGGCAAAAGTTGCAGACCAAAGCTGGCTGTGCCCCACTGTTACTGTCTGTGCTCCTGGCTGCCCTTCCAGGGCCACAGCGCACGGGAGGGGAAAGAGGCCACCCAGGAAGACACCGCCTCATCTGCAGGGGCTTTAGGGGCACACGGCTGGCTGTGGCTTTCACATTTCTCAGAGAAGTTGTCTTGAGAAGGTGCAAAATCCTCGCCCTTCTGTCTGCTATATTCCTGGTAATGGGAATGTAGGAATGCTGGAATGTGGGAACTTTCTTGGAGTGAGAAGAGTACAGATTGGGAGGGAAGACACCTATTTGGCTATAGGTAAATCCAACTCACCAATTGTTCTTAGCCCGCGAAGGAGAGCCTCTGACTGCAGTGAGACATAGAAAGAGGAGGCGATGGATACCCTGGTTTCTTTGGATGTTGGGGAACGGCAGGTGTCTGCTGCAGCAACCAAAGCATCCTCCTTCATGGTGCACGGAGCCACCATTCTTGGAATGACTTGTTTTCATTTCTTTTTTCTAGTTTCTCAGCTCATTGTTTCCTTTGGAATTAGGTCCTGAGTAGGGTTCCCACAGTTTGGGGTAAGAGACTTGGAGGCTCCTATGGTGAGCAGAGTAGCAGTAAGAAATGGAGGTTGGAAAGAGGCTGAATTTCTTTGGGGGAGGTGGGGGGGGGGAGAGCAGAACTTGACATTAGACCCACCCAGAGCTCATCCTTTGTGCTTCCCTCCTCCTCTCCCCTGGTCCTGCCTCATCTGCTCCATTTCCACATTGATTCTCTCTCTGTTCTGCTTTCTCCAGGGAGCCCCATTTCAGAAGCCGACTGCCCCCGGGGTCTTCCCAGGGCACTGGGGAGGGCCGAGGCCGAGGCCGACCATGCCCAGTCTGCTGCTGCTCGCCGCTGCACTGCTGTCCAGCTGGGCTCAGCTTCCGGCCGAAGCCAGCTCCTGGTGGTGAGTGAGAGGGGCTGAAGTCCTCTACAACCTACGCCTCCTTTGGTAATTAAATGTGGAGAAGGGTCACCGTGTGTTGTGATCATTCCTTTATTCGTAGGAATCCTGAGGACTGCTTTTATCCCAGGAAAACTAGGACAGCTTTTTCTCTCACAGGCCCCCAGAGGTAAAGGTTCACCAAGAATAAAGGATTAGTTCATCTGGTGTTTTCCTCTGATCCTGTCTGCATTCCCCTTTTCCTGGACCTTCCTCCGTCCTCATGGGTTGTTAGAAATAGCTCTTGTGTTGCTCTTGGATCAATAAGGATATTGATTTTTTTTTTTTCTGGTGGGGGCAAGGAGAATAGAATTCCTATTTTAGAAGTCTGATGACCAGATGAGAAATTGAGAGATATGCAGGACTGTGCGTGGCTTTCTTTTGTGTTTTGAAGACTAATGTCATTGCCAAGTCAACATGGAAATGGCAGGCACACCCCACCTATTTTGCATGGTCTGCACCCCCCCCCGCCCCGCTCACATTTTTATTCTGATGGCAAATTTAACTGAACACTTTACTATATCTGGTAGAGGATGGAGCCAAAGGGAGAGCCCGTGAACTGATAGAGTGGGTTAGGGGATTTGTGGGTGGGATATGGAAGTGAAAACATTTAGACTATGTTGTGATGTATGAAAATTGGCTTCTGTTTTCGAGGCATAAGGGGAGTTCTATTTCAAGGAGTTTTTCACTTTCCATCACATATCCTGCACTTGGGCTAAAGTGAACAAGTCGCCCCTACCCCTTGAACAAGTCACGTGCTCTCCTGTTGAGGTTTGGCCGTTTCTGTCCTCTGCTTGGAATCAATGTCCTCTGCCCTCTCTGTCACCTTCTCTGCCTGTCCCCTGCCCTCCCCCTTTTAAGACCCGGTTCACACCATCGCCTTGTAAAAGCTTCTCTCCAGCTGTAAGAGCTCTTTCTCTATCTGATCACTGTGGATGCAGAAGTTCAAGTCTGCCTTTGGCATTTGACATCTCACGCGTCATCTGTGGCCGTGCCTCAGTTTTCCTCCGTTGCCCTTTGAAGGCAGGTGCTCTGTTTTACCAATTTTTCTTCCCAAGCCCTTAGTACAGGGCCTTGTACACAGAAAGAAAGTGTGTGATAAATGCGTTGAATGAATGACTTAATGCTGCACATGGCATATGCTCACTCCTTGGCCTTTTTTCCGCTTTCTGGATCTCTGCTGTAGGTCATTAGCTGTGAACCCGGTGCAGAGACCCGAGGTGTTTATCATCGGTGCCCAGCCCGTGTGCAGCCAGCTTCCCGGGCTGTCCCCTGGCCAGAGAAAGCTGTGCCAACTGTACCAGGAGCACATGGCCTACATAGGGGAGGGAGCCAAGACAGGCATCAAGGAATGCCAGTACCAGTTCCGGCAGAGGCGTTGGAACTGCAGCATCGTGGACAACACGTCTGTCTTTGGGAGAGTCATGCAGATAGGTAAGAGGCCTCCCAGACACCGCCTGGCTAAAGGAACTGGGCTCACCCGACCTGGGTGCAAGTACCTCGGGACTGGTGCGGAGAGCCCTCACAAGCGTCCAGTTCTCTCGAGGCTGGGAAGCAGTGTGCAAGGCGACGGGGAAGCACTCAGGAAGCAGAGTCTCGGATGATGTGTGGGTGGCACAGCTCAGTGCTCAGCTGGTGCTCCGCTGCTGGCCTCATCCTGTTTGGGACAACCAAACTTCCTCACTCGAGGAAGGTGGCAGAACAGCCGAGCTGAGTTAGAGTGGATTAGCAAGACTGCCTGCCGCCACTGCCCTTCACCCCAGCACAGGGCAGCTCCCGTGCTCCTGCTCCGGTGGCAGCATTGGGTAGAAAACCAAAAAAGCCTGTATGACTTTTGCCTCTTCCACTTGGACCCTGAGAGAGATAGAAACTTTGAGCCAAATTGCTGATAGCTATCATTAACCTGACCCAGATCCAGTCCTGGCTTTTTCATTCCAAAGGGGATGTGTGTGAAAGTGGGGGAAGGGGACAGACCCAGAAGAAAGAGGAGAGGCCACCTCTTCCTGGATTCCTGTCCCTTCCCCTCTCCCACTTGGACCCTCTGGCTGCCCTATTGCTTGGATGGAGGTGTGATCTGGGGTCTAATTGTTTTAGGTCCTTTTGAAATGCAATCCTCCTCTCCCTGGCAAGAAATTGAGAAATCCGGCCCTATTCTACTGGGTCTGATCCCCAGGGCCATAAAAGGAAGGTGTTAGAGCACTGTATTCTTCTGTCTGCCATTCTCCCAAAAAAGTTTCTCCTCCAAGGATGGCATTCCGGAATTACCTGAGGCTGAGTTTTCCCCAAAGAATGCTTTTAGCAGCAAGCAGGGTGTTTGGAAGACCTCTCCTTCCTGACCCTTTTCCCTACCTCCCCTGCCCTATATTGACAAGCGAGGACCAGGGGAAAGTATGCTCTGAACCTTGCTGTTCTCTTCCTTCCTTCAGTATTCACTCAAGGGCCATACAAGGAATTCTCATGTGTTCCTGCAACAGTCTTATCAGGCAGTTTTCCTAAAAAAGAATGGACTTGGGTTAAGTGAGAATTGTTTGTAGTTTATTGATTCTTCTAAATACACTCGGTATATGGTGAAGTCTTAGCAGCACTGCCTGCTCTGGGTTCTGGGGGAGGAGAGTAGGAGACCCAGGTATAGAGAGAGGCATCCACTAATCACTGTAAGGGAACTCCTGTTTCTTTGGGACCTCATGTGTGCCTGACATTGGCTAGATCCTTTTCATGTGTAATTTTGTTTGAGTGAAGGCCAAGAATTGAGCTTTACTTCAGGAAAGAATCCAGATTTGATTGGGGGAATGACCTATGAAAGCAGATCCTACCATTGTCTCTGTATGCTATTCTGTTACAAATGGAACCCTCCGCTTGCCTTCTTTCCACAGTTTCTTTTTGTAGCTTCCCTGCAGACAGACTTATACTACCCAGGAAGTTATCCTCCAGTCATCCCCTTGGGCCCAGGGTGGCTCCTAGTGAGTCTTCTGTCTGCTATCTTGTGTTACAACTTCCCAGAAAGTCCTGCCTTTTTTGAAGCCACTGCAAGACTCCACCAGCAGAGGGCAGCAGAGTAGCTTGGAGGGAGCTACTGACACTGCCCCCAGCCTTGGTCAGGGGAACATGGGGGCACCTTCCTGGCAGTGGGTGTGGAGCAGAGACAGAGAGCATGGAACTGTCCTGCTGTCTCCTTCTAGGGGATAGATGGCAGGTATCTCCAGCAGTTCCATGGCTGCTGGTTTCTTAGACTTTTTACTTGAGATGGTTTGAGTTTCCACTCTGAGTTGTTCCACATATAGAGAAACTCCCCACCTTGCTCGTCCATTCTGAAGCCTTGCATCATGTCTTGCTTTCTGGGAATGGCACTATGGTCTGTACTAACCAAGCCTGTCGGAGGACCCAAATGCTCCCCCTGAATGCAGAGCTACCCACACTCAGTACCTAATGATGCCCCCAACCAAAACAGGCAGAGTAATTGCAAGGACAGCTAATCCACCCGAGGACAGACTGGGATCTGAAACCATCAGGACAGACCAGGACCATCAGAGCACATAGTGGCTGCAGTATTACGCTCAGTTGCAGGTACGTTATTTTGAAAGGCAGTTCTGGGAGGAGTGATTTGGCTCTGAAAAGCATGTTTCCTAAAAAACTGAGGAAGAAATCAGACGTGTAGCCTGGAAAAGAGAAAACATAAAAGGCGTATCAGTTGTTTTCCAAAGCTGAAAGGCTGTCAAACGGAAAGGGATTAGACAGTGTAGCTCCAGTGGGTGGAAGTTATAGGGAGGCATTTTTCAACTTACTGTAAGAAAGAATATTCTGGTGAGTAGAGTCATTAATAGATGATGGGATGGGGTGGGTTGCCTTGAAAATCCAGCCTGCTCCCCTGAAAAATGCATGAAAGGAAGACTCACGGTGGGTGGGTTGTCATTGGGCTGCAGATCAGAGGCTCCTTCCTGTCCCAGAAGGCCCAGTCAGGGGCTTGAGGCTCCATTTTAGCAAGACTTCTTAGACATGGCTCCCTCAAAGAGGGGCCTAGGCCCTCCTCCCTAAAGGCCTTTTGGTCATCCTAGCATCCTGGTTGCTCATTCTCATAGTCTGACTACCCTAGATTAGATAAAGCTCCAGTGGTTTCAGCACTGACTACATGTCGAGCTTGATGGCTGAATCATGAGAGTGACTTCCTGCATCACCTGGGTTTTTCTTGCGTGGCTCCTAGTCCACATCTGACCAGAAGCTGACCCCTGGTTACTTGAGAAACACTGACTTGCCCAGTCTGGTCTGGTTGCAAGCTTCACCGTGTCCTGCCCAGACAATTGAGAAGTAGGGCAAAGTTGAGAGATCACTCTAGACCTATTGATGAATGCAGGCCACTTCCCTGTCCACCTGCCAAGACAGGATTATGGGATGTCTGCTTCTGACCACAAGACTCAAGAGAGGAGGAAATGGAGAACAGAAGATTCTGCCTAGTTTAATCCCTGAGATCAAGATTGGATCTCAGATTCCTGCTAAGAACCTAGCCCTTTTCTTCCATACCTGAGTTTTTATGAGTGGTATTTATTATGACAGCCTTACTGAAACAGAATTCACATGCTGTACAATCACCATTTTAAAGAGTACATACAGGTTGGTGTATATTCAGAGGATTGTGCAACCATCGCCACTGTCCAATTCCAGAACATTTTCGTAACCCTATGAAAAAACCTGCATACCCGTTAGTAATCACTCTCCCTCCCTCCCCTTCTGCTGAAACCCTAGGCCATCACAAATCTTCTGCCTCTATGAATTTTCTTATTATGGACATTTCATATAAATGAGATCATACACTATGTGGTCTTTTGTATCTGGTTCAGTACAGATGCCAAATGCTAGGGGCACCTGGCTGGCTCAGTTGGTGGAGCATGTGACTTTTGATCTCGGGGTTGTGGGTTCCAGCCCTATGTTGGGTGTAGAGATTACTGAAAAATAAAATCTTTTAAAAAATGTTAAGTGATTCACTCAGTATAATGAGTCAAGGTTCATCCACATTGTAGCTTGTACCAGCACTCGATTACTTTGTATGGCTAAATAATATTCCACCGCTTGGATAATGCCACCTTGAGTTTACCCATTCATCCACTGATGGACAATATGAGCTCTTTCCATTTTTTTGGCTATGATGAATAATGCTTCAGTGAACATGCATGTATAAGTTTTTGTGTGAGTGTATTTTTATTTATCCTGGATATATCTTAAGAGTGGAATTGCTAGGTCATATGGTAATTCTGTGTTTAACCTTGTGAGGAGCTGCCAGACTGTTTTCCAAAGCTTAAGGTTCCCACTAGGACTACATGAGCATTCCAGCTTCCTCATATCCTCACCAACTTGTTACTAGTGCCTTTTTTTTTAAAGCTTTTATTTTTTTTTAAGTCATCTCTACACCCACTGTGGGGCTTGAACTTACAATCCCGAGATCAGGAGTCACATGCTGTACTCACTGAGGCAGCCAGGCACCTTACTATTGCTTTTTTGATTATAGCCATCCTCGTGAGTGCACAGTGGTATCTCACTGTGATTTTGATTTGCATTTCCCTAGTGGCTGAATATTATTTTTTCATAACATTTTTTATTGAAGTGGAACATAACAGGAGTTTTTTGTGTTTTTGTTTTGTTTTGTTAATCTCAGTAAGATCTCTTTTTAAGTTTATTTATTTATTTTGGGGGTGGGGAGTGTGCATGCAAGTGAGGGAGGGGCAGAGAGAGAATGAGAGAGGGAGAATCCCAAGCAGGCTCCGTGCTCAGTGCACAGCCCATGCTGAGCCTGATGTGGGCTCGGTCCCACAACCCTGGGATCATGACCTGAGCCGAAATCAAGTTGGACGCTCAACCGACTGAGCCACCCAGGCGCTCCTACATCATATGAGTTTTTAAGTGGTTAGAGGAATACAGTTCAGATTTTCTACTGGGAGTGATTTGGATATTTGGAGAGACCATGCTGAGGGTCCTATAGATGTGGTTTCCCAGTGCTCATGAGTTGGGAGGCAGTGTGGACCCCATAGAAGACAGAGGGAAACAGCTTGGATGATCCTGGACATTGTAATTCGGGTTCACTTCTACTCCTGGTCTTTGCCACTATCTAGCTAGATAATGGCAGCAATAAAAAAAGGCAGATGCATGGCCCATAGAGTGGTGAGAACTTGGCATCTGTGAGGGAGAGGTTTGTGTTAGGATACAGTCTTACTATTGGTCCCATGATTGCTACTCTGTCTCATCTTCCTCCCACAGGTTCTATAAACTCCTTAATGCCCACTGTCCCCTTCACTTAGGTCTGCCTCCTAGGAATCTGCTGGCTATTTACCCTTCCCTGGAATGGATGTTAGTGTGGGCCAAGGCTGGAGGGGTTCATTCTACTGTGTGTGTTCACAGGGCCGAGAAGGCAAATTTATGCTCATTATCAGGAGAAGTTTCTGACCAGTAGAGCCATGGGAAGTGAAAGGTGCTTCTCCTGACATCATTTCCCCTGGAGTATTAAGGCCCAGGCGATGGTGTTGGGTCCAGGAGAGACAGAAGGAAGGAAGGGGCCTTCCCAGAGAGCTGGCATCCTTCACCACCTCTCTTGCCTTCTCTTGCAGGGAGCCGGGAGACGGCCTTCACCTACGCAGTGAGCGCGGCAGGCGTGGTGAACGCCATCAGCCGAGCTTGCCGCGAGGGTGAGCTCTCCACGTGTGGCTGCAGCCGGACAGCGCGGCCCAAGGACCTTCCCCGGGACTGGCTGTGGGGCGGCTGCGGGGACAATGTGGAATATGGCTACCGCTTTGCTAAGGAGTTCGTGGATGCCCGCGAGCGGGAGAAGAACTTTGCCAAGGGGTCGGAGGAGCAGGGCCGAGTACTCATGAACCTGCAGAACAATGAGGCGGGTCGGAGGGTAAGCTGGAGCTCTCCCACCTCCACACATACCGTGGGGTCCCTGGCTTGTTCCTGGACTGAGCCAGGAACAGTGGCCTGGCTGTGAAAAAGGGGGTAGGTCTGACCATGGTGATTCTTACCTACCGTGGCTGACCTGGATTCCTGCATTAATGCCCCATTCCATTTCACAAGGCTCTGTTTCCCAACGGACACATGCAGGTGTAATTTTTATAAACCTCATTTATTTTTCACAGGACATCTGTCCCTATGGGACTTAGGAGGCTTCTTGCCATCAGGATTCCAGGCATACAGAGTAGAGTTCTTGTCTGCCCTTCCTTTGTAACGTGAGCAGATAAGATGGTGGGAAGTTTAGGCCATTTGACCTAGCCAAGGGTTTATGATTTGTTGGAAGCTCAGGTAAAAGCAGAGCTGACTTTTAAGAGCTGCCACCATGCGTATCCAGAAGCCCAATCCAAAAGCACACGCAAGTGCTAACATCAAACACAGTTCTGTGCATGAGTGGAAGCATGGTGGGTAACCACCTTCTCAAGGCTATATCACCAATGTGATGTGAGACGTGACTGTTGGGTGAGCCTCCGTTTCAGTGGAAACTATAATGTGGGGTTTGAGGTGAGCGTGGTTTATTGCACATGCAGAGCATACCTGGGTGAGCCTCCGTTTCAGTGGAAACTATAATGTGGGGTTTGAGGTGAGCGTGGTTTATTGCACATGCAGAGCATACCTGGGCGATGGCTCTAGCTTTCCTTTGTGGTGTGCTGAGGAGCACGGGCCTTCTCTGCCTGCCCCTCGCTCATGAAGGCCTCACCGCTGAGCACATGCTCTGCCTCCCCTTCCCTTTGCTGCTCCCGACATGATCTGTCTCTGCTGCAGGAAACCAGAGGGCTTGCTGGGGCAGAAGCTCTCCTTCTGCTGGTTTGGTACATCCCGTGTGCAGGGGAGTGTGGATGTGCGTCCAGGTCTCCTCCTAGAGAGGTCTGAGGTCTGAGCACGGGGTGGTGGGAGTCCCTCCTGGCACAGGGCCAGGGGACTGCAGACCTCTTAGGAAACCACACAGACTTCTTTCTGGGAGCTCTGTCTGCACTCAGGTCTGCATCAAGCCAGTTTGCAAGGTACTGTAGGGACACCAGAGATGAACCCATTAAACAGTGGGGCCAGCAGCTTCTTGAGAAGAAATAAATTGAGAAATTTAAATGTTGGTTCATTGGTGATTCAGCAACAGGATATGGATGTATTTCTTAAAAAGTTTATCAACTTAAAAAAATCAACTCATGTTTCATAGGAACACATATTCAATAAACGGAACTGAAATGCCTTTTATAGGAACTGGGATCTGTGATGTTGGCTTGGTAGAACATGGTGCACTTGTGTAAACTTACTATCATCAATAGTGTGATGTCAAGTTGAAATTAGAATTGGTTACTTGGCCAGTATCTTTCTTACAAAGCCCATACCCGGAGGCTGAATCTGGGGTTGGGGGGGTGGTTATGGATCTGGGTGTGGGGGGTGGTATTAATCTGTGGTGATGTTAGGAATTCTGGGTGTTGCTCCAGTACAAACCAGAGCAGGGGGAGCAGCACTGTCTTAGATGACCTTCCATTCTCAGGGCATCTCCGGGGCCACCTCCTTCCGCCGTCCCCCAGGACTTTGTCTCTGTTTGGCAGTCTGCTTGCCAGTCTTTGCGTATCTACCATGAGACATTTGGCAAAAAAGGTTAGGATCTTCACTTTATCTCCTGAATGCCCAGATTCTATCCATTTTTCAAGATCCCACTTCAAACAGCACCTACTCCTTAAAATCTTCCCCACTCCCCATAATTAGTAGTCTCTCTGCCTCTGAACCACAGTAGAGCAGTTGCTATGTTTCTTGAGGTATTCCTTACTGTACCTCATCCCACTGGCTGTGACTTCCTGAGGACAGGGATTCCATCTATAGCTCTTTGAAACAACGCTCACTGTGCTTTACATGAGTGGGCACATGCAAATGCGCAGAGCAAAGCCCCCGTATTGCCTCCTAGGAAGAGGTCAAATTCATGGAAGGCTGTTTCCCGTCTCTGCTCTGTGCTATCCTTGGGGCGTTGTGGCAGATGCTGAGGTGACTAGGCATTCATCCTAATCTGGACTCCATTTCAGTCACAGTCTTGACCCCACTTCTGCTGGCTCCTCATTTTATTGCCCTTAATTGTTTGTTTGTTTGTTCTGGCCCTTATCTTGGCAAACCTTCCTTCCATCTGCCTTGTTTCTCACTTACACACCTTTCCTGTCTTCCTCTGTCTGTCTCCCTGCCTTTGGGCCCCCTTCCTCCAGTCTCCACACCTCTTCCACAGCCTTTATCTCTCCCTTTGCTCCTGTCTGCTCCAGGTTGGGAATTCCTGTCCCTCTCTATTTTTTCTCCCCTCTCTGAGGAGCAGGCCTCTGCCATCAATCACCATCTGAGGCCAAAGGTATTCACCTCCCACCTTCTCACACCTACACAAACAGTTCCTTAAGAAAGACTAAAATGGCAGCAGGGATCGAAAATTTCCTGCACTCGTATTCTACGACCAATTAAAGATTTTACTTTTAAGTAATCTCTACACTTAACGTGAGGCTCAAACTCACAACAGCCCCAAGATCAAGAGTTGCACACTCCGCTGACTGAGCCAGCCAGGAGCCCCAAACCATTTTTTTAACAGACTATCTAGGATCTGACATGTTGGCCACAGAATAAATCTTGGGCATACTTTGCAATTTCTCTTGGCCTTTGAGAGTCTCTAGTAACCCCATTCTAGACATCGATGGCCAGAGCAGTGGGTTGATACTGCCTTGTCACTCAAGGGCTTAAGCATTTTCCAGATAAAAGCTGCCTAATCCTTGTGACATTCCTATCAGTTACCAAGCTCAGTCACACCATTAGTGCAGAAGAGGGACTTAGGGCTTTGCCAAGGAGCAAGATGTAGAACCAAGAAAATATTTTAAAACTTTGTTGCTTTTTCAGTTAGCAGAAAACGCCAAACATTGAGATTTTCCCCCCTTTTCCTGTAAGAGGAGCTTATATATATTATCAATAGTAAACTATTTGAATATACAAATATTACAGTGTCTCCATAGATGAAGGGTGGAATGAATGTCTGCATAGTGAAGATCCGTGACACTCTTCCTCTTGGATTTGTTTTACGAAAGCTCCGTTCTTACTCTGCGGAGTCGTCTCCGGCTTTCCTTCCCCAAATCTCCCTAAGTGTTTGCTTCCAGTAGAGATGCTTATCCTGTTCCCTTGGTCACTTAGTGGTGGGGTATATGGTTTTAGGCTCTTAATGTTTCCTCTTTCCAGCAGCACCAGATGCCTGACCTCCCTCTCCAAACCGAGGACCATTTCCAGAGGAATGTCAGGCCCCGGCTCAGACTGGGGGATTTGTGCCAGAAGAGGGTAATTGCAGACCCTGTCTTTGAAGTGCCTGTTGGAATGGGGTGTTGGTTCCTTTATGCCCTGGGCCTGGAGCTGCCAGCCAAGTGCTGGTCCTTTAATGCTGGGGAGGAGGCTCCTTCCTTCTCCACCCTAAGCTGTTTTTAAGCCCCAAGATTGGAGTGCAAAAGTGCTAGTCATCCTGACTCCCTTCTGGGTGGCCCTGGCCAGATTACTGAGCCTCTCTAGAGCTTCAGTTCCTCCACCACAAAATAGTGGGGATAATTCCACACCAGAAAAAAGATCAGGAAGAGTTTTGACAATAGTAAGATGAGCTGATGATGGTTAAGCTATTTCTTGCACCTGCAGTGGTCTCTGCGCAGTGCTGAATAAAGACACAATCTGGGGACTCTTGAAAAGAAATCCTAGAGAAACCCTTGAAAAAATGAGTCCCGACTCCATCCATGACAATAGCTGTGGCATAAGAAAATGTTTTGCAGCGGGCTTGCATTTTTATCTTGCCATCTGTACACCCGGGCCTGCCTCCAGGGCTATTGGACACAATGCATCAATATGCTTTCATTGAAAAGCACTTTGTAAGCAGCTTTTTGGTCTGCGCCTGCTTTTAAAATTTTGATTTGGGATAACCCAAGTTCAAATCCACTCCACATTGTTTTGGTTCAGTGGCTTCAGGGATTTGTTTTCAAATACATCACCTCTGTTAGTGGGCCCACTGACCTACTCTTGCAGTGCACAGGGCCTTACCTCTCTGCCTCCACACTCAGTCCCTCCGGGGGGGGGGGGGGGTCTGCGGGTGCTGTGGTGCAAGAAAACGGTCTTGTTCACAAACACCGTGTGGTGTGTGGCGAGGCCCCTGTGACTGTGGAGTTGAGGACCAAATGTTAACACAGAAAAAGGGACTGTTTAGTTCTTAGGGGATTTGGCAGAGTCAGAGAGAGCTTTTTGCTAACCAGGGCCATGCCAGCAGTTTCTGTGACAGGCTAGCAGTACGACTGGATTTTTTTTTCCCCGATTGTATTCCATATGATGCAAAAGCTGGACACTGTTTGCTGTTTTGTGTTTGTTTGTCTGAGACTTTGGTCAAGATAGAAATATCCCTGTTTTCCTGATGGTAAAGATGACACATTGATCATAACAAGTTTCAAGTAATAAGCAATGGGAAAAAGGGAGCACCTGGGTGGCTCGGTTGGTTAAGCATCTGACTTTGGCTCAGGTCATGATCTCACGGTTTGTGAGCTCGAGCCCCACTTCTGTCTCTCTCCACCCCTCGCCCGCCCCTCACTCATTTATGCCCCCTTTCTCTCTCAAAAAAAAAAAGCACAAAAAAGAAATGGACAAAGTAGAAAGGGCAAGTGCACCAGATGCCATCCTTATAGCTGATCAGACACAGACACTGCCTCCCCTGTGTTTTTCTATGCGGTGCTCCCTTTATCCACTTTCGATTTGGGTGACTGAGGATCCTGGAAAGATCTTTCTATACTTTTGAAAAACTAATCCTCACCTCCCCAACCATTAGCCATCTTCAGTATTTGGCCTGTGGCACCCCCGGCCACCCTCTTGACATCTTCCAGCAGCATGCTCCCTCTCATTGCCTTCTTTCTCCTCCCCTCAGGCTGTGTATAAGATGGCAGACGTGGCCTGCAAATGCCACGGCGTCTCAGGGTCCTGCAGCCTCAAGACGTGCTGGCTGCAGCTGGCCGAGTTCCGCAAGGTGGGGGACCAGCTGAAGGAGAAGTACGACAGCGCGGCCGCCATGCGCATCACCCGCAAAGGCAAGCTGGAGCTGGTCAACAGCCGCTTCAACCAGCCCACCCCGGAGGACCTGGTCTACGTGGACCCCAGCCCTGACTACTGCCTGCGCAACGAGACCACAGGCTCCCTGGGCACTCAGGGCCGCCTCTGCAACAAGACCTCGGAGGGCATGGACGGCTGCGAGCTCATGTGCTGTGGCCGTGGCTACGACCAGTTCAAGAGTGTCCAGGTGGAGCGCTGTCACTGCAAGTTCCACTGGTGCTGCTTCGTCAAGTGCAGGAAATGCACTGAGATCGTCGACCAGTACGTGTGTAAATAGCCAGCGAGGGCCCACTCCTCTGGCCTCGCCTCTGCTCTGCCTCACAAAGTTTATATTATAGAAATCTATATAAATCTATTTTATATTTGTATAAATAAATGGATGGATGATAAATAATTAAAAGAAGAAAATGGAAAGGAAAAGCTTATTTAAGAGACGCTGGAGACCTTTGAGGATTGAACTGTGCTGGTTCTCTACTCTGGGTGGGTGGGGAAAGGGGATTCTCCCCCTCCCTCTGGTGGGTCGTCGCAGTGGGTAGGGACTCGGGGATATTCACTGTCAGGCCACCACGGCCTCGAGGAGACTCATGGTGGTTACATGGAGAAGATGCTTTTGTCTGAAGTCTGGAGTCTTTGCTGGGTGGACAGCCGCCCTGCGACCCCCGTCGTTAGCCAGGAGGCCCTGTGCAAGGTGGCAGAACTCAGCTCAAACCATCGCATCCTCAGGGTCTTGTCCAGACAACCGATCATTTCTGTAAGAGGCCCAGGGCTTGCTTACCCTTGGGTTTATGTGCACCCTTGCAGAATCCACAGTTACAGGAACGAGGACAGGTCCCATGTCATCTCTGACTGGTGGCCACGAAGTAGACCTGCATCTCCCCAGACTCCTGGGCCTGACTTTCCAGCGAGAATTATTCTCCCTCCACAGTTCACTAGCTCCTGCTACCCATTCCCTGCGCCGAGGGGAAAGCGAGTCCCTTGGCCTGACTTGTTAGGAGAGATGTGAACGGAGTATTTGTGCCACAGCTGCAGAGAGCCAGGAGCGTAACTGGACCAAGCAAACATTGCACTGTGCTCCCGCAGGGAGGGGCAGCTGGGGTGTTGCTGTCACTTCCTCCATCACGGGGACCCCACCAATGACAGGACGCGTGGCCAAGTCAGGCTCCGCTGGCCCGGCACTGTCTTTTCATCTCTGCCCCAGATGTACAGTTTCTCTCTGATATTAAATACCCTTCACTGGAATTTCTCTCCCTTTCCTTTTTGGACACACGATTATATTTCATGAGTCTCCTTTTATGTTTGATCTGATCCTTAGAACCCTGCTCCACGGTGCACGTATGGGAGAAGGTAAGGGCATGGAAATGCTTTAGAACTCTAGCCTGGTGGTTGGAGACAGAATAGTATGAAAATTAAGTAAGTTTATGCATTTAAGCACTCTCCCCAAGGGTTAGCCCAAAGTTAAATACTCATAAATGATAGCTATTAGTATTACTATTATGAAAAAAATACCACAATTATAAGCAAAAGAATTCAGAGATTTCAGTTTAAACCTCATGTCTACCTTCCCTTCTTCCATTTTACAGCCCACCCAGTTATCCCTGGTTTGGTCACTGGGTCCTTGGTAAAGCACAGGTGATGGGGACACTCTCTGCAGCCTTCTCTATGTTGCGATCTCCTGTCTTGGACTCCAGGATGTGGAGACGGGAGAGAGAGGGAGACAGAGTTCAGGGGTGATCCACAAAGGGAGATGTTATATTCTAGAATGGGAGGAAGTAGTTATGGGAGACACATTGATCCAGGTGCAACGGAGTGGCTAGCCTGCAGGTGACCCAGTAAGTAACCACATAAAAACACCAGTTTTATTCTAGAAAAGTTTACTTCTGGGGAAATAATGGAATCAAAGGAGTTTTGGGTTGTAATGAACAAATTATATTGCAAAACAATGTAAAAGAGGTTCTGTCTGAGGGTATTCATGGCCATGTATACTACTTGTATCTTCAGTGCCTAAAGAAGAACCTTCTGACTCGACATCAAAGAACACCAGACCTAGGGTTATTTCACTAGTAACTGCTCCTCACACTATTACTCAGATTCCTTTGGTTGACATTTTCAAGATGAGTAGTCCATGAAAAAGAGATTGAACTCATCTGGCATACACAAGATCAACGCTGTGTCCTCATCTTCATTAGTTGGCATTTAGCCAAACTAACGTGGTCACACAGACCAGCCATGACAATAAGGGTTTTGAAACACTGGCTGGCATTATTTCCTACATCACTGTTGTAACTCCTGGAGAGTTACCTTATGTCAGGTGCTCAAAGTGTCTAAGAGCTGAAATCCAATTCATCTTTAGAAACTTCAGGAAATTAGGTGAGAGTGACTGGTCCACAAAAAGTGACTTTCACGTTCGTGAAAAGGAGATAGATCATCCCTGTTGTGTTGAGGTTTTCCTGCAGAGTCATGGCAAGGGGATTGAGTAAATATTAAATGTTTTCTTGAGAAAGCAAGTCATATGTTCCAATACCAATGTGACTGTTGCAGCCGTTGACCACCAAGGTTAGGAAAGATTTAACCTTCAAAATAGATTGGGATGGAGTAATAGTTACATGCTTGTTAAATCCTGATGAATTGGCGGTTGTCTGTGTTGTGACCAGTAATGCTGTAGGAATGTGGCTGGAAAATACCAACCTAAGAAAATGAGATTCTGCTCAGAACCACACAGTGTTCGAGCAGGAACAGAAGGTGGCAGTCAGATCTCCTGCTCCTGGGTTTCCAGATAAGGGCCTCCAAATCTTGAGTAGGTCCCAAAGTCTAGTGTGTGTAAAAATGCAGAGGCCTGGGCCTCGAGCATCAGAGATTTTTATTCAGTTGGTCTGGAGTGGAGCCAGAACAACTGTCTGACCCTTTAACAAGACCCTGAGGGGATCCTCTGCTGGTGTTCCAGACACTACACTGGACCTATGGTCAGTAAAAGCGAGCCCAACATCCACAGGGAGACAGGCATCTGAGTCGTCTCAGCAACGCTGTGCAGGATTATTTCCTGGTACCTGAAATTTATTATGGTTAACCTAGAGTCTAACTGAAAGAGTACTGCATTGGATGTAATGCCTGGACCAAGCAGTCCTAACCATCTCGGGGATCCTTTTTATTGAGAGGGGAAAGAGCATTCTGGCATAGAGCAGAACCGACTTGCCCTGGGATGTTCTACCTCCCTCTTCTGCCTAGGACTGGTTGGGGGAAACCTACAGATCTATTACAAATATAGTACGGTCATATTTGCTTAACTGTCTGCATGTATTCACCTTGTCTTCAAGATAAAATTCGGAGAAAGGTATGTCTGACTGCCTCCACTTAAAAGTAGATAAGCGGGGGGCGACGCCTGGGTGGCTCAGTCGGTTGAGTGTCCAACTTCAGCTCAGGTCATGATCTCGCAGTTCGTGAGTCTGAGCCCTGCGTCGGACTCTGTGCTGACAGCTCAGAGCCTGGAGTTTGCTTACGATTCTGTGTCTCCTTCTCTCTCTGCCCCTTCCCCACTCATACTCTGTCTCTCTCTGTCTCTCAAAAATGAATAAACATTAAAAAACATTTTTTAAAAAAGTAGATAAGAGGGTAGGAACGCAGTCACAACCAGGGTTAAGATGAGGGTGGGCCTACATTCATAAAAGCGTTCTGATGCAAGTCTCTCAAGAACTTGGATTCGAAACCCTAATTTGGAGAACTCAGTGGTCATCCGCTGCCTATCCTCTGAGGTCAGAGACAAAACCTGCTATTTGTATTAAAACCCCAAATTAGTTATTGCTTCTGAAATTCCGCTCTGCTCACTGTCTTACTTAAGCTTTGTCATTTGCTGGAGTTCTAGGAGCTAGCAAGACATCTGTGGTTGAGATTGCTCCACGAGATACAGATCTCACAACTGCAGTAGCTTATCAAAAAAGAAATCTATTTCTTGGGCAGAGAGCCACACGATCCAGAGAAGGTGGAAGAAAATAGTCATTTCCATCTTAAAACAGGCTCTGACGCATAGCCAGACCCCACTGACACTGGTCACATGTATTTTGGGAGAACTTCAGTGTGTGTATGTGTGTCTGTGGGTGGGTGTGTGGGCATGTGCATGCGTGCTCATGCATACCCATGCACACAGGAATGAATGTTTTTCATTAATTTGGGAGGAGAGATGGGGAGGCACTTGAGGCAAGGAAGCTGTAAAAAAAAAAAAAGTAAAAATAACCATCATTTTTTCTGGCTGAGATGTTGCAGGATGTGGATTGTCCATCTTTATTGGAAATCTTTGTGCCTTGGTTGGCTAGTGATGACAAACTTCCTATCTCTAGAAGGGATGTTGGGAAGCTGAGAAGGGCCACCAGAGACATGCTTGCTAAATATTTTTCTTACTCCTTTATAGCGAAGGAATCCCTGTGCTGTATTTATACCAAAACAATAAGTAAAGGCTGCTTTCATTCCTGGTTTTACATGAGAACTATGGGTAATTTGCCCATAAGTAGGGAGATATGAGGGTCAGACAGGCAACAGGGAAGACTGAGCTCTCCCACGGTTAATTTTCTAGATTGTTTGAGAGTTTGGGCATTCATCCTGTAGATTATCCACATTCTTTGCTTTCTCCCTCCTGCTGCCTGCCTTTTGCTCTTCAATCTGTTCATTTGCAACTCTACCAGAGGCAGCAACAGAAGATAGAACCAAATCAGTTCATTTGGGCCTCCTAAGTAGTTTTGATAAATAACTGAGTGGGAAAAGGAGTGGCTAAAATTAGATTTTAAAATTATCTGTGAATTTAATGTGTCACTTATGTGTATTATCTGCTGCTCCCCATGATAACTGAAAATAGACTGAAGCTGTCCACAGCCAAAGCAGGTAGGAAATCACAGTATCTATCAAGAGAGTTTGTCTAGGTGTGGGGCCTATCAGCAAAGCATCGGAAAGGGCCTAAGATGAAAAGGAAAGACGCTATAGAAAGGGTGAAGCTTTTTCTTTTTTTTTTTTTTTTACCATTTTATTTAATTTATTTTTTACATCCAAGTAAAATTTATTTTTACATCCAAGTTAGCATATAGTGCAACAATGATTTCAGGAGTAGATTCCTTAGTGCCCCTTACCCATTTAGCCCATCCCCCTCCCACACCTCCTCCAGTAACCCTCTGTTTGTTCTCTATATTTAAGAGTGTCTTATGTTTTGTCCCCCTCCCTGTTTTTATATTATTTTTGCTTCCCTTCCCTTATGTTCATCTGTTTTGTATCTTAAAGTCCTCATATGAGTGAAGTCAT